AACTCACCCGGGTAGTAGCCGTTGCGGCAGGTGCAGATGGGAGAGGCCTCCGACGTAGAGCGGCTGTTGGTGGGGCACTGGGCACAGGTCCCCACACCCTGGTTGGCCTTAAACATCCCCGCCGGGCAAGCTGGAATAGAAAGAGGAGAGGAGGAAAGGGGTGAGTGCTGAGCCCTGCTGTCCAAAAGGCGCCCCGGGAATTCGGACATCCAAACCCTCATCTCCCGCCACAGCAGGGGAGCCCTGGGTTGATGGCAAAGCTACGACAGCAACTGCAACACAAGAAACGCTGTGCAGGGAGCTCTGGGGACAAGCGGGGAGCAGGGTGGTTCTCCTTAGCCCCCAAGGAGAAAGGATAGAATGGACACCCTGCTGGGGACCCTGAGCCAGGGGAAGGGAACTGTTTACATGAGGGATGCCAGCGTGTACCCATGCACACGGTTAACCGATAAGCTAGGGTTCATCGGTTAACCCTCATGGTTACATGCATGGTCCCCCCCCCTGCCTCTGATACAAAGGCAGTGGGGGCGGGGAGTCAGGAGCTGATGTGTGTGGGGAGCCAGATTTTAATAGAGAGGCAGCAGCGTGGCAGGGAGCAGGAGGCAGGCGGGAGCCCGTGCTCACGAGGAGCTGGCTTAAGAGTTGGCTCCTCGCAAGCACCGGTTCCCACCTGCCCCCCCACGTGTCAATGTGTAACTGCTGAAAAAATCAGCGATTACACGTTTACAAAAATGAACGGATTTTCACATCCCTCGTTTATACATGGAACAATCCCTTTGGTCTGATTGGCTCCCGGCCTCTGAATTTTCAAGAAGCCAAAATGGCCTGAGAGTCCCAGTGTGTAGAGAAGCAGCCGGGGGTGGGGAGGAGAAATGGGGAAAGGAGGACAAGGAAAATGAGGAAGGCCCAAAAGGTCGTTTGCCCCTTTGATCGTTTTGAATTGTAGCAGTCAGCAGTTCCAGCAGCGCATTGAGGGTTCTGTGGGTGTTTTCCATTTCAAGCTTTAGTATTTACGATCAAATGTCGGTATAACAACAACAACATCATATGGGTCATTCCCGCAATGTCACTAACCATCACCTGGGCTAATACACTTCTTGTCCCCCGGCCTCAGTGTTTATTCAGCCAGGATGCAGTCATTAACTCAGAAACAGGGAGTGCCTTCCAGATATCATTACAAGACGACTTTCATCCCTGGCAGAGGGAGGTTTCATTAATCAACCTTCTCTCACTGGGCTGTGATTGCATATCAAATATAAACAAAAGGACAATGAGGGGCGTGATCAGACCACTACCAGGGCTGTCGGAAAGTGTCCTGGTTCTACAGACTTCCAGTTCAGGATCTGGCTCTGGAGAGATATTCCCCCCAAGCGAACGAGATCCAAATTAGCATTCGAAGGACATTTACCGTGTCTCCCAAACAATGGACTTAAGAGGCTTTACGCTCCAATGGCAAGAGCTATAGGATCGAAAAGTCACAGATCGGAAATTCAGATGTTCTTCATCTGCCTGAGCTGCAGATCCGATTTAGACAGAGACTTGGAAACTGGACTTTGGACGGTGGGTGACCTTCACTCAAGGGGACCAAAAAGAGTTACGGCTCTGTAATACGCAGGCCTGCCACAGTGGAAACACCTTGCATTGCCTTGAGTTCTGGCCCAAACACACCCTCTCCTTTCCGGTGACCTTGGCTGTGCAGCTTGAGAGACAAAATCTCTAGCCAGCTCAGGTCCCGAGCAGACAAATGCTTTGCAAGTGGATGCACTGTGAAAACGCCTGGATTTTGCTGCATTTTCCTGATAGTTCTTTTAAAGCTGGTGCCTGATATTCTAGTGTGCGAATAAATCTTTAGGAGCAAGATAAGAAACGACAGGAACTGCCTGTGTAACCTGGGCCATCTGCCGAGCGCTTGTCAATGGCATCGTCGGAGGCTAAAGTCCCTTGGGAGAATGCTCTGGGGGCTTGATGGGTTCCCGTCACTATTGTTCTCCCAGCTTCAGTGCCCTTGAGTTGCTGTATTCTTCTCTGTTAGCCCCCCATCCCTCTAACACCCCCCCCTTTTTAAGTAACTTTGGGGTGACAGGTGGGTGCTCATTCAGCCTTGACATCCCTGAAAGTCACTAAACATAATTGACAGCCACCCAGGTTGGCTGGTGGCACAGAGACAGGAGGGTTGGGATGGGAAGGAGGAACCGAAGCGAGGGAAAGCAAAGCCACGAGCGAGATTGTTCCTTGTACAACCTGAAGCAGCCCAAACATCCCACCCTCCTCGTGAACGCCTGACATTACAGGCCTGATGGATAACCCTCCTCGTGAACGCCTGACATTGCACACCTGACGGATAACCCTCCTGGTGAACGCCTGACATTACAGGCCTGACGGATAACCCTCCTCGTGAACGCCTGACATTGCACACCTGACGGATAACCTTCCTCATGCATATCTGACATTGTATGCCTGACGGATAACCAGTAACCAGCTGCTCCCACACCAAGCTTCCATGGCCTAGTGTGGCGATGGGTGACCAAGGCCAACGAGTGGGCCACACGAGCGGCCTCCTTCATCTCAGTGGCCACAGCATTGTCGTAACCAAGATAGTCTCCTGGGACAGGGTAGTTTTGCTAATTGCGCTTGCGTGCCTAGGATCTGCATGTGCCTCCGACTGCATGGTCGCAGCGCTCTGGGTGCAGAGGGAGTGCCCGGCTCTCTCAGCCCACGCTGGGTGCAATCAGTGTGCGTCCCGCTTCACGTGCCCCGGCTTTCTGTGCCTGTCACTCCGGCAATACGGGTCGGAAAACACCTACGTGGATGGAAACCAGCGGAACCTTGCAACCCCAGCGGTAAAAAAAATGTCTTACAGGCCACACACAGAACGCCGACGGGCCCCATGTGGCCTGCAAGTCGTTCACCTCTGACCTAGTGCCCTGGCTCCCTCTGCACCTGCTGATACTTCCCATCGGCACTGCTAGGAAACCCAAGAGCTCCCGGAGTCTGGCTGCACGGGCATGCAAGTTCTGTCCCTCCGGGCATTTCTCTGGGGTGTAAAATGGAACACTCCCAAGGCCCGATCCAAACCCCCCTGGAAGCCTCTGAGCTCTGGGTCAAGCCCTTGATGCCCAGGGATCCTGCGGTGAGGCTGAGCTTAGGAGTCCAGACAGGCCTCTGCGGAACCTCTTTGCGATGCAAGGCTGGAAGGAGGGAAAAGCGTTTAACAGCAGAGCTCATAGCGGGAACTAGCATCGTCTCCTCAGCCAGAAAGAGCTAATGGGCTCAATTAGTTTCTTCAGGAGAGAGCGAGGCTCCTGCGTGACCTGGCTAGAAGCAGCTGGCAACACCGTGCCTCGCTGGACCCTTCCACAAAGGAGCTAAAAGCATCCAAAGATGGCCCCCGCATCGCTGGACGCGGCCACACACTGCCGCTGGTAGGGTTACTTTGCAAAGAAACACGCTCTGTGTTTCACAAACCGGGCAGTGATTGAGATAAGGGAAAGCGTCTCTCATCCCTGGCCGCTGCATCAGGATATGAGGCATCGCGGAGCAGCCCAGAGAAGGAAATGAATCGGCGCAAACAGGAGTAACCACTTCTAGGCAATTTCCTCTGGAGATAGTGGGCCATCTTATCTTTATTTGAGCCCTTTAACCTGTCAGACAAAGCACACAAATGCCTCTCGCTCTCACACTATTTCCAGATAGCCTAGGAAGGCAGGAAGGAATCCCTCCAGCCACCTCGTGATTTCATTATTGGGGACTTTGCCCCCCAAATTTGGCTGGTAACTAACAAAGCAGCAAAGGGGTTTAATGGTCCTTCCTTGCGGCGCAAAGCTCCGAGGGGGAGGTCGGCAGCAAAAGAGGAGGCTTTGCAGTCTCCATTGGCTCTTTGCGCCCTTCCCTGCCATGCGACCCCAGTGTGTCTCCCCCTAGTGACTGCCCCAGGGATAAAGGCAACTGTGTCTGGTCCTTCCTCTCAAGCTGCAACATAGGTCTGCACTGCACTGTGAACCCAACTCCAGACTCAGGTTGGAGTCCAAGCCCTCCTCGCACCCACACACAGATCAGTCTGATTCGGGCCACGGACGCCGCTGGCCTGCAAACTCTCCTGGGGTCAGAGCCGCAGTCGTGCTCAGGTCCTGCCGTTTTGCTGCACCGACACAGCTCAAGCGGCAGCCCTGAGCAGCAGGTCCGCGTTGGGCAGCGTGGATGCGGTGGCATGGTTGTGAGCCCAGCAATCCTAAGGCCAGGTTTACCGTACCATGTGCACACCCAAGTCTGGATTCAGCTACCCTGAGCCCACAAGTGACCCCTGCTTTTAGATCCAGAGTACAAGGGTTCAGCCCCGGCGGGCGATCTGTGCAGAGATCTAAACACACAGTTGTGAGACAGCTGCAGAGCCTGCGCCTGGCGAAGAACGGAGAATAAAACCTGGCATAAAACTGCAGATGTGCTGCTGACACTGCGCCACGTGGGATTGTTAACACCACGATGGATGGGGCTTGCTGCCAGAGATGGGACAGAGGAGGCCCAGGAGGGACACCTAGACTAGGGTAACTGGTTAACCAGGTACCCGGTAAGCATCACCCTTACCAGATGATGCTTACTGGGTAACAGTTAACTGGCGCCTGGAAGCAGCCCCCCTCCCCCCACAGCCTGCCATAGCCCTGCCAGGCCCACCATGCCATGGGCCAAGGTGAGAGCTGGCAACCCCACACAGAGCCCCACATGGGGCTGGGAGAGGCAGGCTGGAGTGGTCCCCCCCATGCCGCTTAACTGCTTAACCAGTTAAACCTAAGGTGTGACCAGTTAACTGATTAAATGGGATTTTGCACCCCTAAGCTAGACACATCCAGAATGCAGAAGGACCCTCCCCCCCGGCTGATACGGAGGCCCTGTTTTGAGACAGCACTTTGAGTCAAACTCCTGAGCATCTGGCCATTCCTGTGCACGCTCTACTGATCGGACATTCCACACATTCCCACTCAGGAAGGCAGCTAGAAGAGGTTCCTTCCTAACTCAGCCTCCCTGGCTACCCCGTGAGAGCCCTTTGCAAATTGTCCTCTGGGGTCTGGGCACTGCCCGCTGGGGACCATTTGGGTCAGTGCTGTTCGGCTGCAGAACCACCATAGCCAAAGAGAG